TTTCGTGATAACGGTGTTTGTGTCCCAGGAGCCCAAGCTGTGGCAAATTGTAGAATTTAGAGTTGACGGCAACCTCTTCCTTGGAATGTAATTGGGTGAGGAGAGATGTTATGGTGTTCTCGGGACTTGGGTGTGTACATGTTTGTGTGTATCTGAGTACATCGCTGTCTGTGTGTGTCTGTGTGTGTCTCTGGGTGTGTGTCTGTGTGTCTGTGTCTCTGGGTGTGTCTCTGTGTGTCTCAGTGTGTCTCTGGGTGTGTGTCTCGGTCTCTGGGTGTGTGTCTGTGTGTCTCGGTGTGTCTCTGGGTGTGTGTCTGTGTGTCTCGGTGTGTCTGTGTGTCTCGGTTTGTCTCTGGGTGTGTGTCTGTGTGTCTCGGTGTGTCTCTGGGTGTGTGTCTGTGTGTCTCTGGGTGTCTCTGTGGGTGCCGTGCTCAGTTCTTTCTTCTCAGGGGGCATTTGTCTAGCCCGGATTCCTATGTGGTCCATTCCCAGACCATCCCATGATGTTAATTCACACTGCAGTCGCCCCTCTGCTGACATCTCTCCCTCTCAACCCCAGCCCGTAACACCAATGATGACAGACTGCACTCAGGCCGGGATCCCTGACCGGGAGACACCTGTCCCCCTCGACACCAGGCAAGCCTTCCTTCTGAGCTGAGTGATGTGCCCCCCGCCTCCCATCTATGAAATGAGAAGACACCTGACCCTTTCAAGCTCCGAAATACCACAACTTGGAAGTGTCCTTCCTCCAGGCTCCCCTCCATTGCTCCTGTTGGTCCCCACCCCCCACCAGCCTAGCCACTCACCACAAAGCCACGTAGCTTTAGGCGCACACGGAGCCCTCTGCGGCCCCTGCCCTGGGCTAAGCTGCCCATGCGGGCTCTGAAATGTGGGCAGAAGTAGTTAGGACTTCAACAGGCCGTCACTGGAGTTTACTTAATTGTCAGCTAATAAAGTTGCACAGAACTTGGGGAGATCTGCCCGCTGGGTGACGGTCCACTCGAGTGCCTCCCTGTTCCCGCCCTTCTCCAATCTGCCGGGACCGCTCCCCTCCAGCGGTGGCACCCACTCCCCACTACGTCAGGCGGATGGCCAGGGGAGGCCAGCGGGGACCAGCACTCCCAGGACTGAGACTGTCTGCAGGGGGCTGGGTGAAGGTGTGACAAGGTATCGTGCAGGAGAATAAAGCCTGATGACTTGGGGAGGGACAGGCTTGTCACCATCTCATCCACCCCCTACCTCCAAGTGTGAGGGCTTCCCCCAGCCAGAGGGAGGGCCTGGGGAAGAATGTAGGGTCCTGAGCCCTGCCAGGCAGGGGCGCACCAGCCGCCTGCAATGAGAGAGCCAGGGCTTAGGGTGTGCCTGCTGCTCTCACCCCTCTGAGCCGCCAGATAAGACGCGTTTGTAGAGCACTCACTGTGTGCAGGCACCACGTGAACTAGCTCCTTGATCCTCACAGCGACCCTCCCCGGAGGGTACCAGCCCCACCACGCACTCCAGGGGAGGAGGTGGCTGGGCCGCAGCGGGGGACGGGGCTGTACGTGAGGCGCTGCATCGTAGTGGGAGGAAGGGCAGCTGTGGAGACAAACACGCTGTGCCCAGCGTGGGCGGACATCGGGCTGGGCGTTGCTGCATCTGCGCATGCGTGCACCTGCGTGTGCGTGCACCTGCGGGCAGGTTGACTCAACCGGGTCCCAGCCCCAGGGTCGTGTCACACAGTGTGCTCTCCGTGGTCTTGTGTGAGGGGCAGCAGTGCGTGGTCAGAAACGTCACCTGACCACGCTGATGCCCGGTGCACGCCGGACAGCGCTGTTGTCCTGGCAACAGTCACCGTGGTGATGGTTGGGGTGGGAGTTTTTGCTGTCTGCTAGCTGAGGAGCACGCGTGCGCGCACACACAAAACACACGTACATTATACATATAGGAGCTTTTCAGTTGTTATCAGCACAAAGTGCTATATGCCTCAGGTACCTTCGCCCCGTGTCTGGCCCTCGTGGGCGACGGTGAAAAAGGCGGGAAGCCTGGTTTTGGGTTAGGGTCAGGGGTGGGGTGGGGTGAGGGCAGGAGTGCGTATGGGTGAGGGGTGGGGCGAATTCTTTTGCAAATGCCCCTTGTTCTTATTTCTCAGCTGAAAATGTAGGTTTGCTTTGGGGTAACTGTCGTGGGTGTAAATACCCAGATGCGCCCAGCCGGGGTGAGGGTCTGCAGCTGCTGAACTCCGAGGACTTTCCTTTATGTGCATGTTAGTCCCCTCGTCCCCGGGCTACACTGCACCCCTAGGACTGTGCTGTCACCTACTGGTGCTGGGCACAGCCGGACTTCGCAGGAGCCCCGGCCACCAGACCTCCCAGAGCTGAGCGTCTGGGAAGCAGGGTGGCATTCCCACGGTGACCACCAGGGGGCACTGCTGGGGCACAGAGGGAGCTGCAGAGGGTCCCTGCGAGCAGAAAGCAGGTCCCCGTCACCCCCCAGCAAATCAGGCTCTGTCCCTACCTCCTCCTCTGCACGCCCCAAACCTGCACCTGGGGGAGGTTCCCTGGTGCCAGGACCCTTCCTTTAACATCCCTGTCACCTCCAGCTCGTTGCCCCTCCCTGGACCTCAGCTTCCCATTGCTCAGTGACCGGGTGGCATGGAGTCACTTGCGGGGACTCTGGGGGCAGCTCTGCCCGACTCTGCTGACATGGGGGTGAGGCAGGCAGCTAGGGTGGGGGCCTTTGAAGGAGGTGAGCTGGGGAGAAGGCACAGTGCTCGGTGCAGTGAGCAGCAGGACAGGGTCCCCTCACTGTAGCTACGTGTTCCCACAACCCCATGTCCCACGGCCTGGAGCCCCAGGAGACACAGCGACCCTCCCAAGGCTGGTTGCTGTGTGAGTTAAATATTTTTCCCTTTAAAAAAAAAAAAGACATCTTCCTAACAGGACGTGTGTCCATCCATTCCTTGTGTGTGTATGTGTGTTTATTGACATAGCACCCATCCAGTCTCGAAATGCTCATTGAGCACCTACTGTGTGCCGTCCCTGTGCTTCTGACGCTGGTGCGGAGACCTGCGAAAAACCAGGAGCAGGGGATCTCCCAGGACGTGACTCTGCCGGGCGCCACCTCTGGGCGTGTAGCCTTGGCACCTGGCACGTCCCTCCAAGTCTCAGTCCCCTCGTCCGGAGATGGAGACGAGCACCCACGCCCCATAAATACCGCGGGGACCTGCGGCGGTGCTGCGTGCAGAGGGCGGGCACACTCCCGCTCCCCTTCCTCCCGGAACCGCACACCCCCTGGAGCCGTCTCCGGCTCTGCCAAACCCAGAGAAAGCGTCGCCCCGGCCGGAAGCCCACGTCTCGGCCCCATGCTCCTGGTTCCCACATAGGCGTCTTGGAAGCAAGCTTTAAAAACACGTCCGTGGGCCCTGCCCGGCCATCGGCTAAGCCGTGGAGCAGCGCACAAGGTGCCAGGATAAACAGGCATGGCAGCCACAGAGGTGACGTCAGCCTGGGGACAGAGCTCAGGCCCCGGCATGGAGGCCGGCCATGTGTCGCTCCTCCTAGCCGTGGAGGCCCGGATGTGAGGTACTGAGTGAGTTAGATGCCTCTGTCACCACCCCAGGGCGGGGAGGGCCGAGGGACCGGGTGTGGACCTCATTCTCAGGAAAGGTGCCTAAAAGGTCCTGGAGGGGGCGCTGCTGCCTGGCTCCCCGCTCGCCCTGCCCGGCCTCCCCTCGGCCGCAGGACAGTCCCAGCAGCCGCTGGCCCGCCTACCTGAGCCGCCTTGGGGAAAATGCCTCTGGATGGGATTCAGAAATGTCCCCTTGGCAGCTAGGGAACCGTGCACTCCTGAGTCTGCGGGGTGTGTGTGTGGCGGGGGCACCGAGCAGGCAGCTTGGTGCCTAAGAGGGTTGCAGGGGTCTGGGGCTGCGGGCAGGGGAGTGGCCGGAGGGGCAGCGTGCGTGGGGGTGCTCTGTGATGCGCTGTCCTCTCTGCGGGCCCCTGACCCTTCCTGAGGGTGTCCCAAGGAGGCGCTGGGGGTCGATTCCACGCAGTGACCGTCCCCCCAGAGTCAGAGGAAAGCAGGGCTGGGGTCCGGTCCGCTGCGCTTTAGTGTCCTCGGGGCTGGCGGCGGTCCCTGGCACAGGTGTATGTCCAGCAAAGGTCCACTGATGGAGTGAGGGGAGCAAGGGCCGTCCGACATCTCCTCGTGCCAGGCGCTTGGCCCTCGGGGGGTCGTGGGCGCCTGGAAAGGAGGTGGGCGGCTTGGCTGGGCTGCTGTAGCCCCAGCCACGCCCGACCTGGAGTCCAACGGTGGACAAAATGATCCGCCATGCAGGACTCTGAGGGTGAGGCTGCGGCTTCACGGCCTCCTCCCTCGTGGCCGCACCAGCACCAGGGGTCTGCCCTGCCCAGAGCCCCTTGCTCCCGAAAACGACCATGCACCCTCTCGTCTGCCCGCCGGCCACCTCGCGGCTAGAGGCTCCTTCTGAGCTGGCTCCCCTGGACCGCACACAGCCCCTCCATGTCCCAGGGAGCGTCCAGGCTCCGGGGTGCCGTGGGCTGCAGCTGGCTCGCACTGCTCCCCAGGAACTACTGGTGGCCCCACTTCCTAACTCCGTGGTCACCGTGTTTACACCACAGCGATCGGCAAACACACACATCAGGCGTCCCTGCCCCTCAGAGCCTGTTGTTAAACTTGAACCAACACGTTGCTGGGGTTCCAGCTGATCTCATCCGGGGCAACCTGCCCCCTCCAGACCTCTGCTGTGAGAGGCAGGGTCTCCCCAAAATGGAGCCAGAGCGGAGCCAGTCGCTGGGGCCCTGGGAGGTGAGCACAGACAGCAGACCTGGGCCTGCAGCCCCTTCCAAGGTTGAGACCAGACAGTCAAGGGCACGTGCCAGGGCCTCTAGGGGCACCAGGGACTGGCCCCATGGGGGGATGGTCCGTCGCCCCCTCCCTGCCCCCAGCTCCCAGTAGCGAGTCCTCCTCACTCACCCAGCACTTCCTGTTTTGCCTCCCAGACCCCGAGTCCCAGAGGAAAAGGACAGTGCAGAACGTCCTGGACCTTCGGCAGAACCTGGAGGAGACCATGTCCAGCCTGCGAGGGTCCCAGGTGACTCACAGGTGAGCTGCAGAGGGGGCACGCCCTCCGCCATCCCCTCGTGTCTCCCATGCTGGACGCAGGGCCCTGGGTGTCTCCAGACCCCACCTGGGTACAGAGGCCAGCCGGTGCGGGGACACCCCTGCAGGAAGAGGAGACACCGCCGTCTCCTCAAGAGAAGGTGGTTTTTGTCCGGTGTCTGCTTGTGCTTGCGTGTTGGATTTCACTCGGCACACGGGGTTGGAAAGCCCTGGAGTGGGGGATGGATGCGAAGCCAGCCCAAGACCCAGCGTGTGACCTTTGAGGCCCTTTCCCTCCTAAGGGTCCTCCCCTCGTTTGTCACGGGGTCACTAAATGCTTTTCTCTCCCGGTTCCAAAGTCTCCTTCATCGTGGGAGTACAGCGTGGCGTCCTCCCGGGGGCTTCTCACTCTGTGACGAGGTCCCCTCTTGCCTCTAAAGCCTGAGAGCTCAGCGGGACCACGCCGTGTCACCCAGTCTTTATGGCGTGGGTGCACCCCCACTCACCCCTTGGAGGGACCTCACGGCCTCCCACTGCCCCTCTCCTGCCCGGCATCCTGGCCAAGCCTCTGTGACTCACAGGCTCCCCACACGCTCCCAGATGAGCTCACGCCGAGCTCCCGGGGACAGAGGGCGGGCTGCACTGGGGGGCGGGGGGAGCCAGGATTGGGAAACCGTGAGGGGAGGCTCACACAGGGCCGCAGCCGCTCCAGCTGGACGGGGACCCGTCCCTCCCCATCTCCTGGGGGTGGAAAACGAGCAGAGATGAGACACAGGGACAGTGGGAAGGGGCTCCTCTAAGCCCACTGGGCGGCCAAGCGACATCCAGACTGGATTTACGTGCCCCCAGTGACAGGGAGCTCATTCATCCCGTTGGCCAGCCCAGCCCTCGGGTTTGCCGTGACCGAAATGGCGCTGATACGTAGCCCCTCTTGTGTGAAGGCCACCCCTCCCTCCACATGGTGCCCCGCAGCACCCCCATCCTCCCCTGGGACACTCGGCCCTTCGCTCCCGGACATCCAGAATACTCTGAATGGTCAGTCAAAGCCCCGACTCTGTGGGTCCCCTCTGACCCTAGGAGGCCCAAGAACAAGTCCCCCCGAGGACAGGGACTCCAGGAGGCCCTGGGACTCGGCACGTCCCTCTGCCTCCACCCTCCACCCAGGGGCCTGGCCCGGTTTGGCTCGCCATTTTTAAGACTCAGGAGACAAAATCTGGAACCCCAGGCTCTGCCAGAGAAGGCAGGAGGCACTTAGATGCAGAGAGGGTCACGCCTGGGGTGACTCACCCGCAGGGAGGGGCAGAGGAGGCAGCTCCAGCCTCCTGGGGCCACCGACGGAGCAGCCAGCCCTCCGGGTCCCACAGGACCTCGGGCGCCAGGCGAGCGCTGTCGGCTGCAGCTGACGGGGCGGGGGAGGGGGCCACCCGAGGCCTCCGGCTTCGTCTCGCTTTCTGGGGCAGAAACCGAGTCCTGACACTGCTTTTCTGCTTGTGGGGACTCAGGGCCACCCCCACTCTCTGCCCAGGTCTGTGTTATCCTGTCCCCAACGTCGATGGCTGAGACAGTGATTCCCCAAACTCTCATGGTTTTTGACTTCCTAAAGTAGACAGTCCTGGAGTGGACAGTCCCTGGGTAGAGAAGGAGCGGCCACCATAGCGAGTCACACTGAGCCACACAGGCCGACGAGGGTGAGTCTGCACCCAGCAGGCTCAGACCCGTGTGGCTGTGTGACCTGCAGAGCACGCAGGCTTCCTGTCGGTGGGGCCTGCGGTCCAGGGAGTGCTCCCCAGCCCGGGGCACACGGCTGACTCTGGATTCAGTTCATTCCAGAAACGTTGGTCTCTGTCCTGCTTTCTCAATCTCCACTGGCTCGTTCCCTGCCACAGAAGGCATCTGGGTTGGGGGGCTCGGCGGGCGAAGAAATGAAACCCTCCCTCCCTCTGCCCCAGCCCAAAACGCTCCCCAGAGAGAGGCAAGAGTGAGGGCTGCGTGCAGGGCTGGCGTCAGGAGCCGGGGTGTGCTGGTGTCCTCGCCCACTGCTCGGGCTTCTGGAGGCGGTTTGGGGGAGAGGCAGAAGGGGCTGGAGCCGCGGGACCCACGCTCGCACGGCCCACACTGAGCCCTCGCTTGGCCATGGTGGGGAACGGGTCCTGAAGCTCTGCCCGGCCTGTCCTCAGGCTCAGGCCGTCTGGCGCTAACCCGGGCCTGCACCCTTGGCCTGGCCAGGGTCGGGGTCTGGGACATCCCGCCCCCCTGTCCAGTCAAGCTGCTTCTGTTCTCCGTGAGGTTCTTCCCCTGCCGCCCAGCCCGGGTTCCCAGAGCTTTTCTGCACCTCTGCACCCTGCTCCAGACCTCACGGTCTCTGGGCCAGAAATCCACAAGTCTTCCGCTCATTAACAGAAAGGTGACCAATGACAGCCTGGCCTTCTGTGCCCAGGCGACCCATCTTTCCCACTCCCCAGGAGGCCTCACTGGCCCCTCTGAGCACCGTCTGAGTTCAGGGAGGTGGCCTTGGGCAGGGGGTAGGCGGTGCTGGGGTGCAGCCCGAGCGGCAGGGCCCAGCACTGTGCGACACTAAACCGACGCCCTCTGCTCCCGCCAGCTCCCTGGAGACGACCTGCTATGACAGCGACGACGCCAACCCCCGCAGCATGTCCAGCCTCTCCAACCGCTCGTCCCCTCTGTCCTGGCGCTAAAAGACGAAGCCTCTGGCTGACCCTGTAAGAAGGCAAATAGTAGCGACCCGAATTTAATGGACATAGAGGCAGAAAAGGAAGGTGATAAGGTAGAAACTGGAGGCAAGGAAGAGGGAGAGAGAAAGAAGAGATTGTATTATGTGTGAGCCAGACTCCTCATCATCATCTCACTGGAACTTTAGACAGGCTGCAAGCCTCCTTTACACAGAGGGAGCATGTGGAATGATCTAGAAAGAACCCTTGGGGCTGCATCAATCACCGTGCCCATGCGCAGCCCCAGCAAGCTCGGCCACAGCTCCCGGCTGGACGCGGACGACGCGGACCTCAAGTCCGGCTACATGAGCGACAGTGACCTCATGGGCAAGACCGTGACGGAGGACGACGACATCACCACCGGGTGAGGGCGGGCCCTGCGCGGCTGGGGACGGGGCTGGGGGACACGGAGACACACCAGTAGGATGGGATCCCTGGAAGGCGAGGCGCAGCCTGCCGCAGGGGTTCAGGTGTGCGGCGCTGTGACAAGGCCTCTGGGCTCTGGGCGTGGCCGCCCTGAAATGGGCGTGGCCGCCCTGAAATGGGCGTGGCCCTTCCAGGCTCGGGTGTGGTGGGCGGGGCCGCCAGCTAGGGCTGGGGCCGCCTCTCACTGGCCCGCGTGGTTGTCGTTCTGTGCTGTGTGCCCCATCTCCGGTCCTTGAGGGGCAGAAGGCTGCCACGAAGGGCCTTGGGAAGTCACGTTGGTCCCAGCGCTCTGCTAGCTGCAGGCCTCGGACGCTGCCACCTGCTTCCCCATTTGTAAGGAGTTGGGGCTGAGACCCTACCTGTGTGTGAGGGGACAAAGTGTGGTAGAAAGCAGGGGTGACAGATCTGTCCCCAGCCAGCCCTGTCCCGCCCGCTCCTGCTCCGTGTCTGCTGCCTCCTGTGGACCTCCTGCCAGGAGCACGCCCGGGGGCCCTGCCCAGCCCACTGCCCCCTCCCACCTGTCCTCGCCCCGCAGGAACCTCATTTTCTCGTCATTTTCTGCCCAGTTGACAGGTTTGGGTTTGGGGAGCAGCTTGGACACAGGTGACGGTCTGGGAGTGGGGAAGGGACGGGGAGAAGGAAGTACTGGGAGCTTAAAGGTCCTGGCCAGCTGTTGTGAGCCGCTGGTTCCGGAAGCTTCTCAGCTGACTGTCCTTCCGCCGTCCTCAGTTTGCTAGGACCACTCCACAGGGCCACACAGGCAGCAGCCCCCGTCCCCCACCCCTGGCAGGGACCTCCTCTTGGCGGGAAAGATCTTGAACTTGGAGAGAATGGAGGGTAGTCCGTCCGGGAAGGACGGAGCAGGGCCACCCACTGCTCCCACCCTGGGATGAGCTGGCGGGGCTGCAGGGCCCGTCCAGCTGCTGAGGCTGCTCTGGAGCAAAACAGCTGGCTTATGACCAGGGCTGTTTGCTGCCTGGGAGCCCGGGGGACCCGGCCTGGAGCTGGGAACCGAGAGCAGCCGGCCAGCTCCTCCTGTGCTCAGAGGCCAGGCCGGGTGGGGGACAGCCCGGGAGTCTGTCCAGCCGCTGCCCGGGGAGCTCCTTCCGGAGGGAGCGGCTGGTCCCCATCCTCTGCGAGCTCCCGGGCGTGGTGGGCTAGAGACTCTGACAGCTGCCCGCCCCCCGCTCGCCCACGTGTTGGAAGGCGTCCGACAACGTGTCGTAACAGTGCTGATCCTGGGTGCATAGCTTGGGGGGCTGGGGTCCGGGCTGCTGGGCGGGGAGGAGGGAAAGGTTGCCCTCCATGCCCCTCGGGACAGAGTGCGTGCTCCTGGGTCAGGGGAGAGAGCGGGGTTCGCTGGGTTGGCATGGGCCGGAGCCCCCCCTCTGCAGACCCCGGGAAGCGTGGAGCTCACAGGGGGACACGGTGCTGTCCCGGCGCTGTCCATGCCGGGGACCCTGCTCGTAAACGGCCTGCGGCTCCGAGACAATTTCAGGCGCGTTTGTAGGGTCAGCCTGCAATTAGCAGCAACTCCGCACGCTGTCACGGTGTCTCCGCTGCCAGCGTCCCTGAGGACACTGTGGTCACACCCGCCACGCTGTGCTGAGGACAGCAGGCCGAGGGCAGTCAGTGTGCAGTCCCATGTCACGTGGCCCTGCGTTCCGTGTGCCTGGTGAGCCACGGGGCTTTTCCTTAGGAGCCGGGCATCCTGGGCTCCAGCCCGTCCTGACGGAGGCACGCCCCCGGCACCACCGTCGCCCGGCCTCTTCTCGGCCCTCCTGTCCCCTCTGCGCTTTCTAGTCACATCTTTTACTCTAGAAAATGTCCTGTTCCTAAGAAAACTTTTTACTATTCATGAAAGGGCGGGCCTGCAATATGTCCCTTCCCGGCACAGGTGACACTCGTCCACCGTCCGCCCACTGACCTTTCTGTCTTCCTGGAGCTTCCGGCACAGAGCCGGCAGGAGAGGGCCGGCTGGTCACTGGGCCCTGCTCTCCCCACAGGCGCCAGGATCGGCCGTGCACTACCGAGTGGGCCATAGAGCATGGCGTGATCTGAAGCTTTGTCAGTGCTCTCGGTTATCCGACCCGGGGGCTCTTCCCAAGCCAGGCTCAGTCCATGTCAGCTGTCCCCACTCTGTCCGCGTGCCAGGCCCTCTCCTGGGTTGCCAACCTGAGCGAGCTCTCAGGAGGGAAAATTCTAGACTATAGTGAGAAAGGCAACCACTGCTGCCACCAAAATAGTCACATAGCTTTTAAAAATATATGTACGTAATTACAATTGTGGTGAAATGTTTTTCTACGTGTGATTAACACGTTAATCGTTTTTAGGTGTACGGTTTGGTGGCATTAAGTGCATTCGCATCGTTGTGCAACCGTCAGCACCACCCGTGCTCAAAACTCTTTAATCTTCCCCAACTCACACCCCGTGTCCCACGTCCCCCTCCCCCAGCCCTGGCTGGCCGTCTACTTCCTGTCTCTCTGAATCTGACGACTCTAAGGAATCATGCGGTATTTGTCTTTGTGCGACTGGCTCATTTCACTCAGCATAACGTCTCCCAGGTCTGTTCATGTTGTGGCAAGTGTCAGAATTTCCTTCCTTTTTGCAGCTGAGTCATACTCCATGTGTGGACGGATCACCCTGTGTTTATCCACTTAGCTGCCGACGGCCTGTTTCCACCATGTGGCTGTTGTGAATAGCCCTGCTGTGAGCACGGGTGTGCAAATGTCCGTTCGGGCCCCGGTCTCACTTCCCTCGGGTCTGCACTAGAAGCGGAATGACTGGATCGTGCAGTAGTTGGTTCCATCTTTAATTTTCGGAGGAACCGTCACACCGGTTCCCACGGTGCCTGCACCGTTTTACGTTCCCAGTCACCGGGGCTCCGATTATTTCTTGCCAATAGTTCTTTTCTGTTTTTTTAGTAGCCTAAGGGGTGTGAGAGGGTCTCTCATCTCCCCCACGACCAGTAGTGCTGAGCGTCTTCTTGTGTTTATGGGCTACTCGCATTGGCCTTCTTTTGAGAAATGTCTGTTCGAGTCCTTTGCCCGTTTTTTAATCAGGCGGTGTGTTTGTTGTTTGTTGAGTTATGGGTGTTCTTGATATATTCTGGGTATAAATCCCTTATCAGATACAGGATTTGCAAATGTTTTCTCTCACTCTGTGGGTTGCTGTTTCGTACAGTTGACAGTGTCCTTCGATGCACAAAAGTTTCTCATTTTGACAAAGTCCGGCTTTACCTGTTGTTTCTTTTGTGGCCCGCACTGTGATGTCATAGGCAAGAAATCTTTGCCAAACGCAACTACACGACCCTGTTCCCCTGTCTGCTTCTACGAGTTTTATAGCTGACGGGGCTTCATTTAAAATAACAGGGCCCACGTCTTATCTGAGCCCCACTCTTCCTGAGACATGGCCTCAGGAGGCCGCGTCTCTCTAAAGCTGCTCAGTGCCTGGTCCATCTTCCCACCACGTACGAGAATCTTCCCTGTGGCTTTCCTGATGGCCGGTCTCGGCCGGGTCTGGCATACGCACAGCGACAGGGAACGTACTCTGTTTCGAATAGAATAAAATTGTAAAAAAGTTTCTAAATGGTCGCCTGACATCTGCTTCACTATAACTTCTGCCGATTGATTTAAATTTTGTCATCTGAAGTAGGAAGCTCTGTTCGGCTGTTTCAACCTGTTCTTCGGGATACGTTCCCGCCCCAGAAAAAAGTCCCCAGCTTATCAAAGTACTTTCCTTTCGTGCTTGTCCTAGTCGCCCTCCACTGGAAGCTCTCAAATTGTCAACGGTCCTCTTGAAATTTGGCACCGCGTGGATCACCGCTTGGCACTAGTCCCACTAGGTTTATAACCACATCACGACATCGTGGGCGACTTGGAGTTGGCTGCTGACTGTCCTAGATGACAGCTTGGACGTTTTTACCTCCTGAAAAGAGAAGAGGAATTCGTTTTTCTAAAAATAGGAAGGTCTGGAATTTAATCTAATAAGAAGATAAGGTCGGCCGCAGCCATCTGTCTTCCTGTCCCAGCACCCAGGTCACAGCGGGAGGGGTGGCAGGGAGGCCCCCGCAGAGGTGGACGCACCGGGTGCAGGGCCCGGGCGCCCGGAGGGGAAGGAGGTCGGGCGGCCCGCCTCGTGCCCTCTCCACTCTAGCTCAGGTTCGCCTCCCTGAGGCTCCGTTCCGCAGTCCAGTGGGCAGCACCAGAGCTTGGCAGGGAGGCCAGCCACAGTGCAGCCCGTCTCACACCTGCAGGGGGCGCCACTCACACTTCGGGGAGTGGGGTTGGCAGCAGCTCTGGCAGGACTGCGTCCAGCAACCTTGCCAAGGTCCACAGACCCTGAAAAGAGCCAGCAGCCAGCTCCTATCGTGAGAAGGCTCTGTGAGTGTGTGTGAGGGGGACAGCGGGGTTCTTGGCCACCGGCTGCCATGCCCTGCATGTCCTCAGGTGGTTCCCTGCTCCACGTGGGGCTGAGGTTCCAGCTTTCTGTTCCCTCCTGGCCACCCCCGCTCCCGGCCTGTCCTCTTGAACTGTGCTTGGGGGCCCAGCAGCAGATGGGGCTCATTTCCGCCTTGGCTCTGAAGGGCCCTGACGTTGAAAAATGTCAAAATAAACTAGAGGCTCTGTGGCCCGAGAAGCAGTGAGTCCAAGTCTTAAAGAGATACTCCCAGCCTCGCTGAGCGGCCCGTGCCTCGCGGTGCCCCACCACCCCAAGAAGGTGCCTCGGTCACTGCTGTCCAGTTTGGCTGACATCTGACCCCAAGAAGCCTGGCCACCTTTGGCCGTAGGAATCTCCTCCTGGGCATGTGTCAGTTTGTACAAGGAGGAGCAAAGCCTCTGAGCTCCAACAGGCCGGGAGGAGAATCTTCTGCCTTTGTCACCTGCTTTCTGGCAGCTGTTCAGGCCTGCCGCCCAGCGGGTATGGACCAAGCCGGCT